ATGATCCTTTATAGTAAGAGTAAATATTGTAAAGATGTCTACTCTTCTTGAATTTACAGGTTTACCGTAAAAACAAAAAACCGTTGCCACTGAGTCAATTCTGACTCATAGCAACACTATAGGACAGAGTAGAACTGTCCCATTGGGTTTCCAAGGAGCAGCTGATGGATTTGAACTGCTGATCTTTTGGTTAGCAGCTGCGGTCTTAACCACTATGTCACCAGGGCCCCAGGTTTACCTTAGACACAATTAAATTCCCTATAGGATTTTTTTTGTGGGGAAAGGGGATGAGGAAGGTGAAAGTTATTCAATTTTTTTCTCATCTCATATAATTTAGGTTGGGAGAGTAGAGGAGGGCTGCTCAGGATATGTGGAAATTATACTAACACTCTGACCAAGTAGTGGTATCTTTGAGAAGATGATTAGGACAGAGAAACATTTTAAAGTAAGGTTAATTGTTTATTCTTTTAATCTAAAAGCAGCCCTGTCTTTGTGGTCAGAAACTGAACTTGTATTTCAGCAATTCTGGGAAATATATATGTTACCGTAAGAATCACACTAAACTATATCAACCCCTTTTATTCAAATTACATTTTCCCTGTGATTAATTTAAAAAAAAACAAAAACAACTTATCTTTAATTTCAAAGTGGATAAAGAGTTGTATTTCTCCAATTCTTATCACTCTTGTTCACTCACAGATAACTGTCATGTTGGCCCTAGACAAATGTTGTAGTTCAAATAAGTGTTATTCACACATTTCTAAAACCTAGGAATAAATGCTTTTCCAAAGAAATGCTAACTAGGTAGGTCTAAACCCTAAATTAGTCATACATCTTTTGCAGGTTCATTTTACTATAAATGCTGCTACCTTCAAAGACACACTATAAAACAGCCTTCAAGAAATTAAGTTTCTTGCTTGCTTGCAATAACCCAAATCATAAACTTGAATAAAACATATAATTTTCTCTTCTGGAAAAATAAATTATATTTTCCTTTTTGTAATGTTGTCTCTAGTCCTAGTCATATATTACACATTACTGCTCATTTTAAATTATATTTTTCCATAAGAATATAATAATCTTTTGGAGAATTTCTTAGTAAAGTAGCAAGGTAAATAAATACTCTTGAACAATCCCCTACATAACCAATGCATTACAGAAACAGGAGAAAAACAGCAAAAGGACTAAAAATTTTGAATAATACCATTCCCATGTGAGAAACTTCCAGCAATTTTTGCTACAAATAGTGCAGATGGAACCAAACTTAAGAGGCTGTAAGCAGTGAATTCAAAACACCCAATTCTATGAAAGATGAGGAAGCAAACTGCTGACCACCACTACTGTAACTCCAAATGAAGGAGTAGATGATCCAGAAAGGATACCCCAAGGAGGATGTCTCCGGGAGTAGCAGTGCAGTAAGCAAAGGGTCAGCCTGACACGGCTTCTCACTCAGAAGCTGGTATGGGAAAGTGTTCCTCCGCTCTTGAGTAGCCATAATACACAGAGGACACAGTTACTACCAAGGTTGATTCTAGGTCTACTCACACCAAACCCAGTAAAAAAAACTCTGCTGCACAGAGATTACCACTGTGACTGCTTAAGGTGTTGACCCACTTCTTGCCCCCTTGCCCAACATCTTAGGTGAAATTTGCCCAGAAGCAGACCCTAAGTGAGGATGTGGTTGCCAATAATTTATTACAAAATGGTTCTCAGGAGAAATCCATAAAGGTGTACTCCTACACCAGTCATACATAAGGGGTTCGGGTGAAGGGAAAAATTCCCAGGTACTTTCTGCTCTCCAGGAGGAAGTGTCTAAAGGGAATCTGCTGAAGACCTCAAGTGCTGAGCTGTTAGCAACAAAACATGGAGGATGGGAGCACAGAGCCAGTAAAAGAAGTCTGAGAGAATCCATACAAGGTACCAAGGGAGTCCACTGCCAACCTCCTACCAAATGCCACATCTAACACTAATGAATCTAGAGTAGAGAAAATGCAGAGTTCTTTCTTCCCCATTCTTAATTGAAAAAAATTATTTCTGAAAGAAAGAAATTTCAATTCCTGTTTGAATATAATACTGAGAAAAGCTAAACTCAATCTATAGGAATAAAATTATAAATCTTGGACAGTTAATATTGATAGTCACAACAAAAGTCAAAATGATATATATACATAAAATGAAAGTAACTGATGAATAATAGGAAATCAGTAAAGATAGCTGTCAAATTTAAAACACAATAAACCAAAAACCAAACCAAATCCATTGCTGCCGAGTCAATTCTGATGCATAGTGACCCTACAGGACAGAGCAGAACTGCCCCACAGGGTTTCCAAGGAGCAGCTGGTAGATTTGAACAGCCGACCTGTTGGTTAGCCACCCAAGACTAAACCAAAAAAAAAAACCAAACTCACTGCCATTGAGTCAATTCTGACTCATAATGACCCTACAGGACACAGTAGAACTGCCCCATAGAGTTTCCAAGGAGCAGCTGGTAACCGCCAACCTTTTGATTAGCAGCCAAGTTCTTAACTACTGTGCCACCAGGGCCCAAAATAGAAAACTAAATCATGAGAAAAAATTAAGTATAAGACCTATTTGAAAAAACTTTTAAAGAACTCAAAAGAGAAGGATGAACAGCTAGAAAGGATAAGAGAAAGAATAAACAACATGGAAGACAGCACAATTGGATCCAATCTATACATATCGGGACAAGCAGACAAAGAAAGAATAATGAATAACTGCATAAAAATTTCTTGGTGTAAGTAAGACCTAGGTATATTCTGCAAAAGTAAATACAAAAAAAAAACAGTATCAAGGAGAAAAAGAAAACATAGCTCAACAAGTACACATAAAAACAAAACAAAACAAAATAGCTTTCTAAAAGTTTTCAGACTTAAACTAGAAGTTTCTAAAGCATTGTCGCCTTTTGGGGGGAAATTATTATGACCTCAAAAATTTACACTTGGTCTCATTCACAAAATAAAAAGTCATTCCCATATATGAAAAACTTCGAGCATAACCCTCATGTTTCCTTGATTTACAAATCACTACATACGTAAATCAACCAATAAAGTGATTAAGAAAAAAAAAGAATTAAAGAATGGATGAATTTTGATACTTAAGAAGTGGTACCAAAAAAAATCATTTAAACATGAATTTAAATGTATTTTTATATTATTTCATATTTTTAAATATATTTTCTAAATACAAATGTAAAAAACCTTTAACGAGATAATGATGTAAAGAAAAAGCTGTCTAAAATTCAAGATTATATTTAAAAATAAGTAGCATGACAGATTACATGAATGCATACTAAACTCTTATCTCATACCAATAGGGCTCAGATGAGTAGATTAACTGATCCAATTTTCATACTTGAAAAAATTTTTTTCATAATTAAAAAAAAAAAAGTTCAGGCATGAGAATTTTAACCTCCACCAGAGCAAAACTGAATGGGCAAATTCCTAAATCACTAAAGAAAAAAGTTAGCCATAGCACACTATGTGGGGAAACAGCAAAAATTGATAGACCTATAGGCTATAATATTGTGCAGATATTACACATCATTTATTTTTGGAATATTTAATATTTGAGGAAAATCTCACAATGTTAAGTGGAAATGCAAGCTCCATAGCAATTTATACAATTCAATGTCAACTTTATGGAAAAAAAAATGGCTGCATAGAAAACAGACAAGAGAAACAACAATAAACTAATCACAGTTTTCTCAGTATGAAGAGATTATGAGTAAGTTTTATTTTTCTTATTTATTTCATTTGTAAATATTTGCAGTAATCAGAAAACAAATATTTAACATCTATCTTTCTTTGTCTAGCATTAAACCATATTCATTAGTAAATGTTATTTATATTAAGAGTTGAGAATTTAATTAAAGAGCATGCCTTATACTAAAATAGAAAACAGGTGTGACTCACTATGGAAAGATGTTTTAAAATGAAAGATTTCCCTTTATGTTTCATAAAATTGAAAGCAGAGACACTATTTTTATACGAAAACTAACAGTAGGTGTACATTCCCTGAAATGTCTCAAAAAAAATTTGCAGAGGCAATACTAAAGTATGTTTAACAGATTATAGATGGCCACAGTTTAGAAAGGTGCTGTCTACTTCCTCATCTCTTGATTCTAGGTTAGCTCTTTTCATCAACAGAATGCAGTAGAAGATTCACTGTGTCTTTTTCTGAGTAGCTTCTACTTCCTGTCTCTTGGAACACTTCCTTTTGGACCTCAGCTACCGTGCTGCTAGAAGTCCAAACCAGATACAGAAGCCAAGTGTAGACAAGCATGCCATCAACAGTCCCAGCTAAGCTCCCAGACGACACCTGCATCAACTGCTAGCCATCTGAAGTCCAGTATCTTTAATATCCATCCCAGTGTTCCCAGCCACCATCTGACTGCAGCATCGTGGGAGACGCCAAGAAAAAACTGCCCAGTTCAGCCCAAAGAATAATAAGAGATAATAATAAGTTGTCTTAAGCCACTAAGTTCTGGGGCTATTATTTAAGAGAAGATAACTAGAACAATATGAGTGGGCACAAACGTGTGTGTGTGTGTGTGTGTGTGTGTGTGTGTGTATGTATGTGTGTGCGTGCTCACGTTGTGTTAGTAGACTGGGAAAATTTAACACAGTAAGTTCTGGCAAAATTTACAATACAGTCTTTTGTTGAAAGCCGGTATCATTTGAGACACAGTAAAATCATCCCCTAAGGACTTGGCAAACAAAAATACTACTAGGATTTCCATCTACTAAAACAGAAACATGTTGTATTTAGGTAGGCTAAATTCATCAATAACCAAAAGTGGGATAAATAAACATTAAAATTAAATCTCAAAATTTATTTCCATAAGTTACATTGAAAATAAACCACCTTTATTAGGATGCAAGCATATTTAAGTACCAGAATTACCAAATTTGCTTATTGTACAGTGCACAATTCATGTAATATTCCATATAGTAAATAGTGGGAAAAATAAATAAACCAACCTGGGCCATTTAAATACTGGGTAAGTGAACAGTGTAGTCGGACAATTATAGGTTCTGTTCTAATTACTTCCCAAGCCAGAGCAATCTCCTCCTGCACAAATATATTTAAAAGACGAATTAGTCAACTTTTAGTAGAGTTCTTGGGTTTTTTCAAAACGAAAAAAACAAAATTTTAAAAACACGTTGAAGAAAGAAATGCATAAATCATGACAGCCTACATATTATCTCAAAACCCAGTGTTTTGTGAAAACAAGGTCAAATTACTCCTTCTTACTATGTATAAAAATTAAAAGTGAGAATTTAAGATACAATGGAGTGCGATAATAAGAACCTATAAATTTCAGAATCTATTAATAGAATCAAGGCAAAATAAGAATCTATACATAATCTTTACTTCTTCAGTGGGTTATAGCATTTCTTCCAAAATCTCTTCAACAAAGTTAAAACATATGAGAGAACATATAATTAAATTTCTTCCAATAATAAAAATCAATGTATTTTAAATGTACCAGTCATTACATAAATGGATACTTACATCAAGAAAGCTAACATCAATATGCAGATCAATGTCTACATCATCAATGGCTCCGTATTCCCTGAAAGCAAATATTAACATTAATTTTTCATTTTCCTTAAAAGATAGATGTTCTCGGTTATTTTAAATTAAAAACTCAATCCCTAGTTTTCATTCCTGATTTCCAGATAGCTCAGAACTGTGGACATGAATTAACTAACTCAAACTAATTATACTGTCATCTTCTGTGACCTCTTTATAGCATATAAAAATCTTTCTATTTTCATGTAAACACATTTATTGTTGTTAGTTGTCCTGCAGTCAGCTCCAACTCACGGCGACCTTAGGTATAACGAATGAAATGTTGTCCAATCTTGTGCCATCTTCAGGATCACTGGTACGAGTCCATTGTGTTTGCTATTGTGTCAAGCCATCTCACTGAGTGTGTCTCCTGTTTTTTCTGACACTCTAGTTTACCAATCATGTCCCTTTTCTAGCGATTGGTCTTTCCAGATGATGTGTCCAAAGTAAGCTAGTCGAAGTCTCACCATTTTCACTTGTGAAAAGTACTCTGGTTTTATTTCTTATAAATTCAGCAGTTGTTTCATTCATAGATGTTCCCAGTTGTTTGTGGCAAATTAAACAATCTTACTATGTGATTGCTGTTTTAACTGCACACTCTGAGGATAAAGAGGTGCTTCTAAGGGCAAAAAGGGAGTTTCAGGCATGAGGAAGGGATGGAGGGATAACGTACTGCCACAATAATATTTCCATGAAATTTCCTTCCAAGGTAGATACGATTAGTGGTTCTGAAACTTATCCAGGTGCTATGCAACGTGAATGTCACTGTGTTTTGATAGGCAGCTCTAAACTGATATATAAAAATTAAATAGCTATATGTTCCACACCAAGGTATTATGAAGACCAATTTTTGCACAGCCTAGTTAACGAAAGAACAGAAAAATAAAAAAAATCAGGACAGTTAATTTTATTAGTCTCCCTGTACGTACATGGAGCCCTGGTGGTGCAAAGGTTAAGAGCTTGGCTGCTAACCAAAGGTAAGCAGTTTGAATTCACCAGCTGCTCCTTGGAAATCCGATAGGGCAGTTCTACTCTGTCCTATAGAGTCGCTATGAGTTGGAATCGACTCAATAGCAGTAGGTTTAGTTTGGTTTTATACATACATGGGAATTCCAGAACACTTAATTGTGCTCATAAAGAAACTGTACACAGACCAAGAGGCAGTCACATTCGAACAGAACAAAGACATACTGTGTAATTTAAAATCAGGAAAGCTGTGCATCAGGGTTGTAGCCTTTCACCATACTTATTCAATCTGTATGCTGAGCAAATAATTCGAAAAGCTGGACTATATGGAGAAGAATGCAGCATTAGAATTGGAGAAAGACTCATTAACAACCTGCAATATGCAGGTGATACAACCTTGCTTGTAGAAAGCAAAGAAGAGTTGAATCATTTACTGATGAAGATCAAAGACCACAGCCTTCAGTATGGATTACATCTCAACATAAAGAAAACAAAAATCCTCAAAACTGGACCAACAAGCATCATGATAAAGGGAGGAAATACTGAAGTTGTCAAGGATTTCATTTTACTTAAATCCACAATCAACACCCATGGAAGCAAGTCAGGAAATCACACAACTTATTGCATTGGGCAAATCCACTGCGAAACACCTCTTTAAAACTGTTAAAAAGCAAGGTGTCAATTTGAGAACTAAGGTATGCCTGACCCAATCCATGGTCTTTTCAACTGCCTCATATGCATGTGAAAGCTGGACAATTAATACGGAAGACCAAAGGAGAATTGATGCCTTTGAATTATGGTGTTGGCAAAGAATATTGAATATACTATGGACTGCCAGAAGACAATAAACAAATCTGTCTTGGAATAAGTACAGCCAGAATGCTCCTTAGGAGCGAGGATGTCAAGACTTCATCTCACATACTTTGGACATGTCATCAGGAGGGAACAGTTCCTGGAGAAGAACATTATGCTTGGAAAAGCAGAGGCTCAGTGAAAGAGAGGAAGACCCTCAATAAGATGGACTGACACAAGGGCTGCAACGATACGGCTCAAGCATAGCAACAATTGTGAGGATGGCGCAGTGCAGGGCAGTGTTTCATTCTGTTGTACACAGGGTCATTATGAGTCAGAACCGACTCAACAACACGTAACAAGAACATATATATATATATACATTTTTTATATTTTTGTAAAATACTAAAGCTACAAAATCTATATACAGTCAGAGATAAAACTATAGAGATAACTGAAATGATAAAAGGTAATAGCCAATTTTATTGAGCACTTATTGAAAATCATATGGTAGGAGCACAGTCTACTCTTAAACACACGTGGTCGCCATGAGGTAGAATCAACTAGATGGCAACTGGTTGATGGTTGACTGGTATGTGCTAGAAATTATTTTAAGTATTTTACATACATGTATTCATTTAATAAAGGTAATATAGGTACTACTACTATCTCCATTTTATATATGTACAAACTGAAGCCCAGAATAATAAAGTAACTTATCCATCATCACACTGTAACAAAGCCAGGATTTGTGTACACATATCCTATTTGGTTGTGAAAATGCTTAATTGGTTCACTATTTAATAAAACATGACTATTGGAAACCAGGTTAAATGTTAATGTATGAGATCATTAAGGCCTCATCATAGCCCTATGAGGTAGATACTATTATTATACTCATTTTACAGATAAGAAAGCTGAGGTTTAGAGAAGTCCAATAGGTTGCCAAAGGGTAAATAAATCAGTGGGGAAGTCAAGCATTGAATGCAGATCTAATTTGAAAACTGTAAATTACAGTATTTGGCACACGTTGTTGTTGCTAAGTGCCTGTGATAGTTAAGATTGTGTGTCAACTTGGCTGGGCCATGATTCTCAGCGTTTTAATGTGATCACTCCCATGACTGAATATACTGTGAGTAGTAGCCAATCAGATGAAAGGGAGTTTCCTTGGCAGTATGGCCTATATCTGAATACAAGCAGACATTCTGGCTTTTTGCTCACTCTAGATCCTGCGGCTGCCTCGTGTCGTCCATCTCCAGTTCGTGGGACTTGAGCTGTTAGCTTATCTGCTGAACTTGGGATTCATTGATCTTTACAGCCTGGGAGTGGAGTCCTGCTCTCTGACTTGCCGATCATGGGTTCGGCAGCCCCTGCAGCTATGTGAATCAGGAGAAACCTTGTGGTCTTGCCTGCCAATCTTGGAATTCATCAACCTTCACAGCCTGTGAGCGGGAGCCCTGCTCTCCGACCTGGGCTCGCCAACTTCTGCAGCTGCGTGACTTGGGAGAGGCCTCTACCCTGATCCACAGACTTGGGACACAATCGTGTGAGCTGTTTCCTTCATATAAATCTCTCTCTATATATATTTATATGCTTTACTGGTTTTGCTTCTGTAGAGAATCGAGTCTAAGACAGTGCCATTGAATCCATTCTAATTCATAGTGACCCTATGTACAACAGAATGAAACACTGCTCAATCCTGCATCATTCTCACAATCCTTGTTATGCTTGAGCCCATTGCTGCAGCCACTGTTGTTGAGGGTCTTCCTCTTTTTCGTTGACCCTCTACTTTACCAAGCATGATGTTCTTCTACAGGGACTGGTCCCTCTTGATAACATGTCCAAAGTACATGAGATGCAGTTTCACCATCCTCGTTTCTAAGGGGCATTCTGGCTGTACTTCTTCCAAGACAGATTTGTTTGTTCTTTTAGCAGTCCATGGTATATTCAAAATTCTTCCACAACTCCATAATTCAAATGCATCAATTCTTCTTCAGCCTTTCTTATTCAATGTCCAGCTTTCATATGCATATGAGGCAGTTGAAAATACCATGGCTTGGGTGAGGTACACCTTAGTTATCAAAGTGACATCTTTGCTTTTGAACATTTAAAGAGGTCTTTTGCAGAAGATGTGACAATGTATTATGTCCCTTGATTTCCCGACTGCTGTTACCATGTGAGGTTGACTGTTGATCCAAGTAAAATGAAATCCTTGACAACTTCAGTATTTTCTCTGTTTATCATGGCACACAGTAAGTGCTTAATAAACATTTCTCTGTATTACATACACAATACTAACAATAGTAAAAACTTGTGGCACTTTAATAGGGTTCAGAGAAGAAATCTTACTGATTGAATGGCTTTGTGTAATTTGATGCATAAATTCATACAGGAGATCTTTTGCTTTTTGATTATCTATGACAAAGAAGGCAGCATGCTAGAGCTATAACAACTTAGCCTCTGTGCTTTCTCCATTCTCCTCTTAGAAATGTACCAAAACAGTGAGCATATTTTCATTATTTATGAAATTATACTTTTTATTCTTATATGGTAGAATTTTAAAGGTTATATAAAGAAGAAAAGAAAAATTACTCACAAAAAAAATTCACTTTAAAAAAAATCAGATGTCAGAACATCTGTGCTATTCACAAAGGATAAAATGATAATACACAAATTTAGATATGCTATTATACATAAAGTATGGCAAAAATGAGGACCAAGCAAATGAACCATTTCTTCTATTCCTTTAGTTCAGGATTCAGAAAACTTCTTTAAAGGACAAGACAGTAAATATTTTAGGTTTTTCAGGCCACATACAGCCTCTGCTGCATACTCTTCTTTCCTTGTTGTTTTTCACAACCCTTTACAAAAACAAAAGCGATTCATAGCTCCTGTGCTCTTCAAAAATAGGTCCCACAGCCTGTCAACCCTGAATGAGTATGTAATTCAAAAATACAAAAGGTCAAATATCTATTGTTAGGCATGTTAAAAGAGAGAGCTACTAAATGCAATGAACAGGACAGGTTACTAATGATGTTACTACAATGATGTTCAAGAGAAGTTTTATGAGGACAAAAAAAGCAGGTGCTGAACTTCACAGAAAACAATGACTGAGACTAAAAGAGGCACTAGGATTAGAGTTGATGAGGAGAATGGGTAATATACTGAGACAAGAAGCAGTTAATAAAGGTTTTTTTTTTTTCCAAATATATTTAAAACAACCTTTTTAGCTTTACTCTAATT